CCACCCCCTACCACCCCCCACCCCACCCCCCAAAAAAAATTATTTAAGTTTGTTTTTAAAAAATGTTTTCAATTTCAAAAATTATTTTCTACACTAGCAAAAATAAAAGATATTTCTCAAAAAAAAAATTCATTCATAAATCAAACACAAAATCTTTTCCGAAAATATTTTCTACTCACCAACCAAACATGAGAAAATAAGTCAAAAATCAACTTGTTTTCCAGGAAAACATTTTCCTTCATACCAAACACACCCTTAAGCTCAAATTTGTTCCTTAGCTTTAATTTTGGGTACTCAAGCTTCCCCTAATATGCACAACAAAACTAAACAAAAACGTAACAATGCGATGATAAACATAATAAGCTACACTATTATAAATTGGGTTGTCTCCCAATAAGTGTTTGATTTAACATCGACATGACTAAAGTCGATGTTCTGGACTCTCTTATGAGCCTTTATTTGCTTCTTAATCCTTTTGAGATGTCTAAACTCCTCATTTTGCACTTTCTACACTATTATAAATTGGGTTGTCTCTCAATAAGTGCTTGATTTAACATCGATATAACTGAATCGATGTTCTGGACTCTCTCTTTCATTTTCTGCTCTTATATGCCTTTATTCGCTTCTTAATCCTTTTGAGATGTCTAAACTCCTCATTTTGCACTTTCTACACTATTATAAATTGGGTTAGTCGTCTCAACTAAGTTGACTTTGGATTTAACATCGATATTAACTGTAATCGATGTTCTGGACTACTCTCTTTCTATTTTCTGCTCTTATATGCCTTTATTCGCTTCTTAATCCTTTTGAGATGTCTAAACTCCTCATTTTGCACTTTCTTCCTCTTTTTCAATCTTTTTTCGATGGTAGTTTGGGTCACTTGACTACTTGTTCATGCTTCTGCAGCACCTTAAGCAATCTACCACGGTTTCTATCTACAAGTCTGCACTTAACTTCAATAAGCTCAAGAAGCTTGTTCAAGACCCTAAAACTACACTCCTCTAGAAGTGCAACAGTCTCATAATCTCCCAGATGTCTTTTGCATGCCACAACCTCTCACAGATATTTTACATATTTCGGCATGTCTCTCAGTGCATTGATCAACGATATGTTCATATGCAGTTGCTTGAAAATGGGAAGGGTGGAGGACACTTAGGCCTCATTTGTTTTTATTAAGAATATTTAGTCATATCTAAATGCACATATGAATGATTGAGACGTTGTCTCTAAATCTGAACATTGAATGATTAAAACTGTTTGTTTTTCAACATATGAATGTACATGATTTATTTATATGCACATAAAAAACATATAATTCAAATAAAATAATTAAATAATAAAATTAAATCACTGTTTGATAAAAAAAAATACTCATGTTTTCTAGTGATGGTGGAGATACTTTGTAATAACGGCGGTGATGATAATAGTTGTTGTTAGTGACTAGTAATGATAGTGTACTGATAGATGTAATAGTGGAAGTGGAGATTGTCATAATAATGGCGACTGGTAGCGTTGTTGGTGGTTTTGATGGTTAAGTTGATTTATGTTAGTAGTTGGTGGTGTGAATAGTGGTGACTGAAGAATGTGTGGTGGTAGTTGAAGAACATGTGATGGTTATGATGTGTTTATGATAATTGGTGATGGTGATAGCCATGATGATGGTAGTTGTTGGTAGTAGAGATTGACCACAATGGTGTTAGTGGTTGATAGTAGTGGTGGATGTAGTGATGGTGATGACAAAAAATGTATGGTGGTAGTTGGTGGCAATACTAGTTGTGATGACTGAGTTTGTTGATAGTGGTGGTCGAGGTGACGGGGGCGGCGGCGGCAATGAATATATAATGATGAAAGAGGTAAGTTGGTAGCAGTGGATAGCAACAGTGATGATTGTGATGACGGATGTGGTTGGTGGTAGATGACGGTAATGGTGGTTGACAATGGTAGTGGTGATGGTGGAAGTGGTTAGTGGTGGTGGCTGGTGATCGTGGATAGAGTAATAATGAATATTATTCACACAAGAATACCTCTTAATGATATTAAGACAATGTTTTAGATCTTAATGATTAAAACCTATTCAAATCAATTAAGTGCTTAAACTTTAATTAAAACAAATGTACTTAATGGTAAAATGTCTGAATCATTAAAATTTGAACCACCATTAAGTACGAACAAATGAATCCTTAGAAATAGGTATTGATTTAATCCAATGAGGGACAATTGAGACATAACAAATGCTTCAAAAGTAAGTTTCAATAACCATGCAGAAGCAAATGTTTCTACACTAAACAGTCAGCACATAGGTGCTAGAAAGATAGTCATTGTTACTAATACTTCATGGAAGTTGTAACATTGTTACTGTGTTATCGAATCTGCATCAACAACATATTCTACAAGTTCTTGTTCAAGCATAGGGTTAGCACGTCTCATCACTTCCCATCCCTCGGAGGATGATATGGTTATGAAGTTCCTCACTATCATACGAATACAAACAACAATAAGTCGTGGTACATCACAGTTCCTTCCTAACTGAAGCACATCTATCACATTTTCAGGGCTCAACCAACCCTGCTCCAAAAGGTGTATGCAGACTCTTTTAAGTGATGGTACTGAATAAGAATGTGATAAGACTAACAGATGAAGAACAAACTTCTTCATTTCTCTTTCTTCATAACTGCAGTAGGACAAACAGGTGAGATAAATTTCAAGTATCATAGTAGCTGAACAACCAAAGGATGTTTAACTTAGATATCAGAGCTATTGGGTTCGAAAGTAATCATGACATATGTGGAGGTTTACAATTGCAAATTATAGACGCGATAAATCAGATAACAAGGAACTATACTAAAAAAACATAATATTAATATTTTTATATGATTTGAACAATTGGCCTACATATGAAAACCTAATATAAAAGAAAGTATAAAACACCCTCAATAGAAATCTTACATTGTGGATGTTATTGCATTTTGGTATGAGAAGAGGGATCTTCAAATTTATAAAGTTCTAAACTTTTTCTATAAGGAAAAGAATAATCCAGCTATGAAAGAAAATCATGTTTTCCTTTCAGAAAAAGTAAAAGCAATTATAGTAATATTTTGACTTTCCTTCAAAAGAAAAATAAAACTTACGGATGATAAGAAAATCAAGATAAAACCCTAACAAGAACTTCTACTATTATAGGCCATGGCAGGCTAGCTAGTTCACCACCATTACTATGTGGTCGAAAAGCCTTCCATGGCTTTGTTGATTCTATTAACAGAAACTATGAAACACAAATGCGAATTACGTGTATGTAATATAATCAATCCAATTTAAATAGAAGCAACATTAAACGTCAATAGATATTTAAGGAAACACAAGGCAAAAACGTTTGGCATACCAGGCTGAGTAGAGGAAACGAATGAATATAAAGACAGCATCATGGGGAACCCCAAGAATCTTTATGGATCTGATACCATTTTTTACTTTGGATTGCTGTAGAAGATTACCCAGTATCGGCGAGGCAATCCTCTATGGACAACACAAGGGGGAAATTAAAGTGTGATATAGCATGTATATATAGGAGTCATTACAAATGATCACGATGTGAATGACAAGTAATTCTACATTCACGTTTGCAAGTATTATAAATGAAGACGAAAATAGAAGTACTGACCAAAAGAGTAGAATGAGCAAGAATAAATGATCCATTATCAGTACTTATATGTACATCTGCTCCATATCCATCTTTAAAAAGCTTGTCCCATGTATCTCGAGTTTCATTAGGGACACGATCAGACTTACCATGTCCTCTTTCATGAGTAATGGATTTCAAACAGATTTTACCAGGAGGAGGTGGAGGCTCTGGGATATTACGTGCATTATAAACTGGACACTTTCGATCTTCATGAAAATCCAAAGTGTGTCTCGAGTCTTCTCCTTCTATTCGTATGTTAAAGCATCCACCAAAAGATTCAGAACCCGAGGATAACCTGGGATAATCAATTTCAGGCGATGCCATCAACTAATTAGTATCGATAACAAAATGTCACGACTACCTAAGTAACGAAAAATGAAAATTTAAGACTTGTAATGTATGCCTGAGAATAACACAGGATTTTCAATATAACAATACGAAATGCAGTAGAAAAACCCAAACCAACAATCAAAAGTTAAGCATCTACCTTGAAGACTTGTAAAGGACTAATATTCCTTTTCTGAAAATTTCATACAGATTAAGGGAATGGAAAGGAATAACCATTAGTATTAAAGTACAATACTAATAATGATCATTAAGAATCATTGGATACCTTAAGTGCTACGAATTCAACATTAAGGGTGTGTTTATTATGGTTGAAAATGTTTTCCGATTTTCTTATTGTTCTGTTGGTCAAAATTTTTGGAAAATATTTTCTCTACAAGAATTACTTAAGGAAAGAAGAGAACAAATTCTACAAGTGGCATTCTATATTGATTGTGTTTTCCCCACCCTCCAACATACCTCATCTTCACCCCTCCCCCTTGTAGCCCCATACCCACCACCCCATACCCCTTAGATTATATATAATTAAATGATTTTTTGGATAATACTTTTTTCATATACCCAACACAAAAAAATAAGTAAGAAATTCAAATATTTTCATAGAAAACATTTTCCTTTGTGTAGAACACGCAACCTAAGTTGTTGGTTATTTGCGCACGGTGCTTAAAAATCATAAATAAAAAGATAATTTTACTAATTCACCCCTAAAGAACTTATTGAGAATTTTATATACAAACAAATGGGAATATGTTAAAAAAGAATTAATTAAAAGGGTAATATAGGAAAAATTAATTAATACTTTCCTAATTTAGCAAGATGAACAATTAATATGTGACAACTATTTTTAATATGATGATCAATTATATGGAACGGAGGGAATTTTAAATATTTTCCTTCCGTTCCATATTAGTTGATGATTATATTTTATTACTACCTCCGTTCACACAACTATTAATATAATGATCAACTATTTGTTCACACAAACAAAAAAAACTTTATTCTAGTCACCTGAGGTGACAAAAAATTAAAGAACTGAATGACCGGAAGATGAAAGATCTAATTTTCAATAAATTTGAATGAAAAATGAAAAGGAAATCTTTCCCTATAAAGGCAAGCTGCATGATAAATTTCATCAGAAACGAAAAAAAAGAAGAATGAGAAATTCACATTTTATTGACCTTACATGATGAAATTAATAAAAATAATTAATTCACACATTTACCTAAATTAAATGTTAATGATATTCTTATTTCTTATGAATCTTTTTCTTTCCCTTATTTTGATTTAAATAATAATCTTTCCTCAGAGGAGAGATAAATAAAGCATAGAAGATGTAGGCACAACCAACAATAGTTATATGTGATTCCATTTTTTATTATTGTAAGTATATCTTTTCATACTTTTAATTCAGTTTCTGCACTTTTGATGGGTAACTAATTTCATAACTACGGTTGTAGAGGAGAGTAACAATGAAATATAGTTGTATAGTTAAAATTTTAGACTAACTTGCATGTATTCTATATTTTCTTGGAAAAAAGTTAAAGATTAGGAAAAAAAAACTAAACACAAAAATTTGGGACTTGTGTTTCATCTAAAAATTTGAGACCTGATGTTGGTAATCTACTTGAGACTTAGGGTAATAGTGGTAAAGCCTCAAGTACTGTAAGGATAGGGCCGTCTCGACAAGTTTGGAGGCATATGGACAAACTTCATGAAGAGGCTTATTTTTTTTAGTTGACATATACAAATTGAATAATTATAACATACTCAGTGTAATCCTACAAATGAGGTCTTTAGAGGTAGTATATACGCGAACATTATGAACTAAGAATGTAAACAATGTAAAATTTTCAAGTTAAAATAATAAAACCTAACTCAAAAATTTCAAAAAATTTATATAATGATATCGAAATAGTGTTGCGCTAAATTTGATAAGCTGATATAATGATATTAAAATAGTACTATTGATTATATTAGTTCAAGTGCTTGAAATTTGTAGAAGACAACAAAAAAACGAATTTGATGTTTTTTATAAGCACACAAATAGATTTTGCAATGTAGTAGGTTTGACTGATCGAGAGACTTTAGTTCATGAAAATTGTCAAAATATAAATGAGAAACAAAATAGATAACGTAAGAAAGGATGTTACAACTAACTAAACACTATTTCATTTCTCAATTATTATAACAATCCTTATATTAAATGAGGTAAAAAATCGTTATATTTTTTAATCTAAAAAATTCTTTTAAAATTTATCAATACACGCGATATTTTTAGTAATATATATATATATATATATATATATATAAGAGAAAAAATAGAAACCCCAAGCGATTGTTTTAGTGGCTTTATGGTTGAGAGTCAAGACAGCCATACGCAAGGACTTCATCAAAAGGTACTTTAAAAGTAAACCGTTTTACACCCAAAATTACTTAACTAGCTAGAATTTTATAAAAGCAACTAGATCAGTATTAAAATCTAAAATAGGAGTCTACAACCTTAGTTTCACATTCTAATGAATAAACACAAAAATAAATTATAGTCAACCCTCTGTTTGCTGCACGGCACACTCACTCCCATGTTCTCTCTTCCATACAGCATGTGAGCAATGAATAAACAAAAACAGGTCAATTCATATCTAGTTTGAGCATATTATATACTTCATCTATCCCAATTTATGTGATTTACTTTCTTTTTTGTCAGTCTCAAAAAGAAAACACATTTTTATATAAAATAATAATTTAATTATAAAATGTTTATTTACAGCCACACAAATTTCTATTATTTTTTAAAACTCCGTGCCGAGTCAAACTACCTCACAAAATGGGACGGAGGGAGTATATAATATATGGATCACCATCTTCAGTGATATGAATTCATCATACTCATACAGCCACTCAAGAGTTGTTCAGTGTTTCACCATTTCAACTTCAATTTAGGTCCTTCTCTTACCCTCTTTTAACTTTAATCATTTCATATGATCCATTATTTCTCTGTTTGAATGGAGACATACTATTTCATTTGATGAATCTACATGTAATAATACTTTTCGAAAGCCTTAATTTGGTATGGATTTGTATGCTACATTCAATTATATTAAGTAACAAAAATTATATCCACAAATTGATATAACTATTATCAAATTGTATTTTCTTCTATTGATATTTTTACAGTAAATATTTCATTTCTCATCCTTGGACATTATGTAGTGCAGGTTAATGATGTCGACAAGAAGTGTTCAACTTGTTTGCTTACTTATTTGTTCTCTGGCCATCAGCAAAACTGATTCTACAAAAGCAAATGAATCACTGAAACAAGAGAAAGGCGCAGATCATGCATATTTTGTCGATAAAACAATTGTTCAGAATTCTGTATCAAAAGGAGCAGGTTCAATATATATATACGTACAAATTAAATCCAACTTAAAGTAGAAAAAAATCATGATTATAGTTTTACTTGCAGTTTGCTTGGACGGATCACCTCCAGCGTACCATCTTGATCGAGGATTCGGACATGGACTCAGAAACTGGATTATTCTACTCTCAGTAAGTTTAACATAACATTAATACAAGTTAAACTCTTTCTCTGGTTATTCATTATTGAGGCGCGCTTGCTTTCTGCAAAGGTTTTAAATGTTTCAATTGAGCCTCATTTAATCTTTAAATTCAAACTGTTTTAAGACTCTTTATTTACATTGATATAATGTATGTTCCTATATTGAAATTATGAATTACTATCTATTTTATATCTTTTAGAATTTCTCTATGCATTTATAACTTGTTTTTTAAAATTTTGTTGAGTTGAAATTCAAATTGTTGTTATAAAACTTAAATCATAATATATTAAAATTATTGAGATTAAGCTGGTCAAATTGAGCGGATCAAAACCCAATTGGTGTTTAAGCCCATTTGAGTTCAAAGTAAATTTGGGCGGGTCAAGATCCAACCCAATTTATGTTTCAACTCATTTTAATATTTCTAATTTCAAATCAACCGGCCTATTTGACCCCCTATTACTACTGAGACATGCTTGCTTTCTGCAACTTTCACTTTGTAAATAGGGAGGAGCATGGTGCAGAAACACGACAGACTGCCTAAACCGTTCCAAGACTGACTTGGGTTCTTCAACACTTATGCTGCCATTTATATTTTTAGGCATTTTCAGCAAGAGCAAAAGAGAAAATCCAGGTTAATTATCGAGAACTATTTGATAATCTAGAATGAAAAGTTCAATTTGATTGAGAAAGTCTTATACATATGATCGATCATAAATTGGTTATATTTATTGTAAATCATGCAGATTTTTACAACTGGAACAAAGTCTTTGTTAGGTATTGTGATGGTGGAGCTTTCACTGGAGATATCGAAAACGTTGATCCTGTATGCTCTTTTTCGATCTAGTTCCTATTTTAAAACTCTCTCTGAATGTGTGTTTGTGACATTTCTTTATCGGTGTGTTTTTTGACAAGACAACATTGAACTATTCTCACATCCTATATTGTTTAGGCTACCAATCTTCATTTTAGAGGTGCAAGGATATTTGATGCAATAATTGAGGATCTTTTAGCTAAAGGATTAAAGGATGCAAAGAACGTATGTATGTTTAAATTATAACTGAAATAGTAGTAGTATTTGTTATTGTTCGTTGGAAAATCCTGAGAGAACTTAATAATTGCAGGCTATTCTTTCTGGCGGTTCTGCTAATGGATATCCAGCAATGCTATACTGTGATCACTTCCGCAGTTTATTGCATAAAGCTCATAGAGTGAAATGCTTGGTTGATGCTGGTTATTTTATCCGCGTGTAAGATACACGTTGCATTTCCTATATATGCTAATTAAGAATCATACCGCGTACTGATTAATCTAACTTAGACAGTTCGTTTTTTCTACTTACAGGAAAAATCCCCTGCTAGCAAATGTGTTTGAGTCCATCTTTAGAGATGTTGTTACTCTACATGTAAAATCCCATCTCTTTCATTTACTTGATTATTTTTTGATCTGTATACATATTGTTGATTTAATGTTCGTAAACC